AAAGCGCTTATTAAAGCTTTCAAAGCTGGTTCTTTTTTAACTAAACTCGAGTTTTTTTTAGCCTAAATGGCCAATATTTATTTATTATAAACCTTTCACGATCACTTTCCTCGTTCGAAAATGGACAAAAATTACCAATTCTGAACCGGTTATTCTCAAACGGTCAAAAATTTTATAATTTCGTTCCAATCACGGCTGAAAGGACTTTAAAATTATATATCACTCGACCCATTCCGATGATTATTTGTGGAACCAAAACAATTTGCGGAAAACAAAAAAAAAGAAAAAACTAAAACACAACCGAATACAAAGTTACTCCACAATTTTCAAATGGGCGGAAAATTATGATAGCCTGTTGCTGTGCAAGTAGCACAGAAAGTCCCAACCATAGTTATAAAAACTACAAAAAAAGTTCTTCAAATTACTGTCGTTTTTTCTGCGTGCTGTGATAAGACTATACACACGCGTAAGAAATTAGTATATAAGGCCTAATTGACAACAGTTTTCTTAAAACAAAAAAGAATAAAAAATGATCTCTTGCACCTCTATAAATTTTTTCATAGAATTTTTTTTGGTCGAGAAGTGCTAAAAAAAGCTTTTTCAACTAGTTTTCAGTTGGAAAAATCAAGTTTTTTTTTCAACCTCAATGACCAATGTAATAAGTTAACATCATTTTATTCGTTCGCTTTATTGTCCCAATTGTCGCAATGTTGTCGGAAATACGACTAAAAGGGCTTTTATATGATGAATCACTCAACCTAGTCCGATAACTTTTTTTGTTTACTTGATTTCGCGTGGAAAACAAGAAACTCAAACTAGTGTCGTTTTTTCTGTGTGGTGTGATAAAAAAATCTAAACGAAAAAAAAAGAAACTAGGCAAATTTGACGGTAATAGTCTAATAAGCCAAATGGAAAACAGTTTTTAGTTTTTCTAGAATAATGGCTAAAAAAACAAGATAAATTCTAAAAATTTCTTTTGTTTTTTTTTGCAAAATTTTCTACCATAACACTACTGCTGCCTATCTACTCGCACATCAAAACATACTTTAAACCAAAAATTATAAATGCACTGTAAAAAGCGGAGTGAGCAATTCTGGTTGGAAAAAAAGTTGCCTCATAATATAACACATGCTCCGATCGTGTACTTGTATTGTGGCTTAAACCATCTTTTACAATACTTTCACAGATAATTCCACGAAATAGGCAAACAGTAGATCTAAGATTATTCTATTCTGGATATTTTGGGATTCGATCCACGAATCTGTTAAATATTCATATTTCAGGCAAATAGATGAATAAAGCGGAACTAGCTCATGCTATCTATAATCGAATCTTTAATCAACGCAAATTGTTGGAGATATCTTTTAAGGTCAACAGAATGGAACTCAATTAATTGATCAAAACTGCTTACCGACGTCAAAAACATTTTAGCGGATTCCATAGAGTAAAACAAGGATAGCCAGTTGCTTTGCAAGTAGCACAGAAAGTTACGACCACAATCCTAAAAAACTACAAAAAATGAAAACTTTTTTATCTTCAAATTAGCGTCGGTTCTTCTGCGTGGTCTGATGACAGAGCTATACAAACGCGTAGAAAGCTAGTCCAATAGCCATAAAACAACAATTGTCTTCAAATATAAACATTAAAATGAAACAAAAAAGTTTTAGTACTAAAAAATTTATATCGTTTTTAATTTTTCTGGCCGAGAAAGCGCTTATTGAAGCTTTCAAAGCTGGTTCTTTTTTAACTAAACTCGAGTTTTTTTTAGCCTAAATGGCCAATATTTATTTATTATAAACCTTTCACGATCACTTTCCTCGTTCGAAAATGGACAAAAATTACCAATTCTGAACCGGTTATTCTCAAACGGTCAAAAATTTTATAATGTCGTTCCAATCACGGCTGAAAGGACTTTAAAATTATATATCACTCGACCCATTCCGATGATTATTTGTGGAACCAAAACAATTTGCGGAAAACAAAAAAAAGAAAAAACTAAAACACAACCGAATACAAAGTTACTCCACAATTTTCAAATGGGCGGAAAATTATGATAGCCTGTTGCTGTGCAAGTAGCACAGAAAGTCCCAACCATAGTTATAAAAACTACAAAAAAAGTTCTTCAAATTACTGTCGTTTTTTCTGCGTGCTGTGATAAGACTATACACACGCGTAAGAAATTAGTATATAAGGCCTAATTGACAACAGTTTTCTTAAAACAAAAAAGAATAAAAAATGATCTCTTGCACCTCTATAAATTTTTTCATAGAATTTTTTTTGGTCGAGAAGTGCTAAAAAAAGCTTTTTCAACTAGTTTTCAGTTGGAAAAATCAAGTTTTTTTTTCAACCTCAATGACCAATGTAATAAGTTAACATCATTTTATTCGTTCGCTTTATTGTCCCAATTGTCGCAATGTTGTCGGAAATACGACTAAAAGGGCTTTTATATGATGAATCACTCAACCTAGTCCGATAACTTTTTTTGTTTACTTGATTTCGCGTGGAAAACAAGAAACTCAAACTAGTGTCGTTTTTTCTGTGTGGTGTGATAAAAAAATCTAAACGAAAAAAAAAGAAACTAGGCAAATTTGACGGTAATAGTCTAATAAGCCAAATGGAAAACAGTTTTTAGTTTTTCTAGAATAATGGCTAAAAAAACAAGATAAATTCTAAAAATTTCTTTTGTTTTTTTTTGCAAAATTTTCTACCATAACACTACTGCTGCCTATCTACTCGCACATCAAAACATACTTTAAACCAAAAATTATAAATGCACTGTAAAAAGCGGAGTGAGCAATTCTGGTTGGAAAAAAAGTTGCCTCATAATATAACACATGCTCCGATCGTGTACTTGTATTGTGGCTTAAACCATCTTTTACAATACTTTCACAGATAATTCCACGAAATAGGCAAACAGTAGATCTAAGATTATTCTATTCTGGATATTTTGGGATTCGATCCACGAATCTGTTAAATATTCATATTTCAGGCAAATAGATGAATAAAGCGGAACTAGCTCATGCTATCTATAATCGAATCTTTAATCAACGCAAATTGTTGGAGATATCTTTTAAGGTCAACAGAATGGAACTCAATTAATTGATCAAAACTGCTTACCGACGTCAAAAACATTTTAGCGGATTCCATAGAGTAAAACAAGGATAGCCAGTTGCTTTGCAAGTAGCACAGAAAGTTACGACCACAATCCTAAAAAACTACAAAAAATGAAAACTTTTTTATCTTCAAATTAGCGTCGGTTCTTCTGCGTGGTCTGATGACAGAGCTATACAAACGCGTAGAAAGCTAGTCCAATAGCCATAAAACAACAATTGTCTTCAAATATAAACATTAAAATGAAACAAAAAAGTTTTAGTACTAAAAAATTTATATCTTTTTTAATTTTTCTGGCCGAGAAAGCGCTTATTAAAGCTTTCAAAGCTGGTTCTTTTTTAACTAAACTCGAGTTTTTTTTAGCCTAAATGGCCAATATTTATTTATTATAAACCTTTCACGATCACTTTCCTCGTTCGAAAATGGACAAAAATTACCAATTCTGAACCGGTTATTCTCAAACGGTCAAAAATTTTATAATGTCGTTCCAATCACGGCTGAAAGGACTTTAAAATTATATATCACTCGACCCATTCCGATGATTATTTGTGGAACCAAAACAATTTGCGGAAAACAAAAAAAAAGAAAAAACTAAAACACAACCGAATACAAAGTTACTCCACAATTTTCAAATGGGCGGAAAATTATGATAGCCTGTTGCTGTGCAAGTAGCACAGAAAGTCCCAACCATAGTTATAAAAACTACAAAAAAAGTTCTTCAAATTACTGTCGTTTTTTCTGCGTGCTGTGATAAGACTATACACACGCGTAAGAAATTAGTATATAAGGCCTAATTGACAACAGTTTTCTTAAAACAAAAAAGAATAAAAAATGATCTCTTGCACCTCTATAAATTTTTTCATAGAATTTTTTTTGGTCGAGAAGTGCTAAAAAAAGCTTTTTCAACTAGTTTTCAGTTGGAAAAATCAAGTTTTTTTTTCAACCTCAATGACCAATGTAATAAGTTAACATCATTTTATTCGTTCGCTTGATTGTCCCAATTGTCGCAATGTTGTCGGAAATACGACTAAAAGGGCTTTTATATGATGAATCACTCAACCTAGTCCGATAACTTTTTTTGTTTACTTGATTTCGCGTGGAAAACAAAAGAAACTCAAACTAGTGTCGTTTTTTCTGTGTGGTGTGATAAAAAAAATCTAAACGAAAAAAAAAGAAACTAGGCAAATTTGACGGTAATATTCTAATAAGCCAAATCGAAAACAGTTTTTAGTTTTTCTAGGATAATGGCTAAAAAAACAAGAAGAATTCTAAAACTTTTTCTTTGTTTTTTTTTTTGCAAAATTTTTAAATAACTAACTTTACTCGAATGGAACTAAATTTTCACGGTTTCATTTAAGCTCGAATAAGCTGTTGTAAGCCTGCACGCTCACCTTATTATCTCTAAATTGACCAAAAAATCGAAAATTTCCGAAGTTTATCTCGACACTGACTAAAAGTTTTCAAAAATGCTTTAAGTTGTTCAAATCACGAATGAAAGGGCTTTAACATGATATATCACTCGACTCATTCCGATGATTATTTGTGGTATCTGATTTTGCGTGAAAAGAAAAAACACACCCGAATAACAAGTTCTCCCTTATTTTTCAAATGGTCGGAACAATCAGGGTTAAAAAACTATTCAACCAAAAAAGCACTGTTAATTGACCGATTGCGGCATTGAGGTTCACCGATATTGCCAAAAATTAGGTATTTACGATGAATAGAAAATCTAAACTACTCTCCAAACTGAACAAAGAAATTTGGTTAAGGAAAAAGTTGACCCGTATTAGTCAAAAACTGATGAGGTGTTCAAGGATTGAAAACTTTGCCTGTTTGTTTCTATGTAGATGTGACCAACTCTCCTGAAAACCTGAACACGACTTATTTACCTGTTTGACCTTTCCCAAGCGTCTTTTCAAGTCGGAAGGGCCCCACATACTGTGCTTCTGGCATTGATTGTGGATTTTTTACTTGCTCCATTCCAATAGTCATGGTAAGGACTACCAAATATTGTGACTTTGTAGGGGCAACAGCGTTTGCTTCAATTACTCGCCAGCTTATGCTCACAGCGCAAGAACATGGCACTATTCTTCATAATTATCTGGCATTTGAAGACTCCAAATCAGCCGTATCTGAAAACTGAATAGATTTTTCATCAGAATGTTCCTAGGTGTCTTTTCATTTTGTGCAGAACATAAAGTTACGTAGCAGTAACTAGACAACCGCGTAGACAGACAGGCTACTAAACTTTTTGTTTTTCTAGCAAGTCAAAAGGTTAGAGATTATCATGGCGCACATGTCCTTCATCATTTCATCCAATCAAAAAACCCTGGAAATAGCATAAACCCGAGTTAGTGTAAGGGAAAAAATAACGCGATTAAAGTAAAGAAAGTCGAGATGCTTGGGAATCAAGCCAACGAGATTGAGAAAACTAACACCTGTACAGAATAAACGTTATTCAAGAGTTGGATCAGAATTGAGTGTTGTCTTTATCAGGAAGCCGCCAAAACTTACAATTTCTATATCGAAGGCGCTTTTCGCAAAACAAGAATTATCATATTAATGCTCGACAATTCCAAGACTTTTGTTATTGATAACGTTATCTAAATTATCAACTGAATTAAAACGTTCGTTTTAAATTGTGAATTTCTAACAAGTTTTGAATATATGCTTCAAAGTTACTCTTGATATCCTTTATAGCCAATCCGATTTCTGTATTCCCAAATTTGACTTCGTACTGATCTGTCTGCTTACGCGGTTGCCTACTAACTGGCCGCGAACCAGAACTTAGGATAGCTCCAAAGGGCAAAAAAGAGACCACCTGTTTGAGGTAGAAGGAATGACATGTCACAAGAAAAACGGTGATAACTGGATTCAGTTTGACTATTGCAAGTTTTGGATGCATTCCTGCTGCTTTGGAGTATCCAAGAAGGATTATAATTTGATCAGCGAAAAATTATATATACATAGAACAAGTGTGACAACTGTCTATCGAATAATGCAATGAAAGCTGAGAGTAGATGGGAATTGGCCGAAAGTCGACTCAAACTAATTGAAAGCAAGGTGTGGACAGCGCCACAGAAGCAGCGCAGAAACTTGGTTAGGAGAATGCCATCACAGATCGACCAGAGCCGTTACTTAGCACGCGCACACGGGCTACTGCCGAACTAGGTGTGTGTCTACAAAACTTAATCGAATTTACAGGAGAATCACAAGATGAGCGTAATGAAGAAGAATGGACAAAGGCAAATAGAATAATGCGCTTTACCTGAGATGAACAAGCCGGATTACAAGACATTTTTGTAATTCAATTCATGCAAGGTGCTCTACGCTCCCGTACAGTCACAAACGAGGTTATTCGCCCCCGTACAGTCCATTTGCTCACGGGCTTTTGTACCTCAATCGGTCGGAGCCAATTCCTGGTTCACTTCAGAAAAATCAACCAGCAACTCACTTTATCTCAACATGATTGAGTAAAATCCGCTTGAGTAAGTAAACTCAGATCAGATGAATGAAGAAATTAAGAAAATCAGCTTGACATCAGCTTGAAATCGAGAAACTAGGAAAAAGAACAAAACTCTCAGAATAATTTCGATGGGAATTTTTAAAATGATTACATAATAGATATTATGTAACAACTTGAAAAAAAATCAATTAAAATGGGCCCTTTCGTCATGCACATTGGATATGGCCGTACCAACTATATATAAAACTATATAAGACTATTTGAAAAACAGGAAACAGTTTGTACGAGTAGACAATATCAGCTCAAAAGTTTTAGAAGTCACTAGTGGTGTTCCTTTTTAGAAGTCACTAGTAGTTGCTAGAAGGATCACTTTTAGGACCACTGCTCTTTTGCATTTTTATTAACGACCTACCTGAAGTACTCAAATTCTCTGAACCATATATTTTTGCGGATGATCTTAAACTACTTTCCATCAAAAAAACATCAATTGAAATTCAAGAAGATCTGGACAAAATTCAGCAGTGGGTAACTGAAAACAAAATGGAATTAGCACTAGATAAATGTGCAAAAGTAAGTTTTAGGGGCGGAGACGCTAACTCTATGCTTTTTGGTGTAGTGCTTGGAACATCGATGGTTGTGAAAGATCTGGGAATTTTTGTGTCGGGCGATTTAAGTTGGAAGGTACACATTGAAACAAGATTAAAGAAGGCAAACCAAGTACTGTACCTCCTGAGAAGAAACCTATCAGCAAAGATAAATACGTTTGTAAAGTTAGGCCTGTATAAGTCACTAATACTCCCAGTGTTATTATACGGACTCTCATGTACACATATATCGAGGGGGGATCAATTGCAGTTGGAGCGATTTCAAAAGAAAGTAATCCGTTGGATCACTGGAAATAAAACGGGAGTGTACATCAACGAACTACGCTTGCTAAACATTTTACCCCTGCCCATGTTCATCCAGCTAAATAACATCTTACTTCTTGCCAGTGTTGATTCTAATGAACGAAATGAAATAGTGTTAAACAGGCGAACCACACGGGCTAGAAATACAGAAATTTTTGAGATGCGAAAAGTGAGAACGAAAAAAGCGAGAAACGAATTTGTTTTCAGAACCAGTAGGATTGTAAATCGATTAGAACCATATATTCATTTTGATAAACGAATCGGCCTCAAGACGAGAATTTTAAACACGATGTGGAAATTTGTAAACGAGAGATTTTCAGAAATGACAACGTGCACGTGGCAATTATTCTGTGATTGTATCACGTGCAGAAACAAGTGGACATTGTTTTAGAGAAGACGCCGGGACCAAGAATCCCAACAGCAGTGCTGTGAATCCCCAACAACAACAACAACAACAACAATAGAAAAATATCGGCAAAATTTTATGAATAAATCAAGTCGATTTTAATGCAACCAGAGAATTGTCAATTAAAAACTACCCTCCTCGATTGTAGCACAGGAAGATTTGTCTGTGTTGAATGTATTTTTAAGATTTCTGCACCCCTTAGGCAGAGGATTGCACTCCTCAGAAGTGCAAAACTTATTTCGTTCTTATAGTTTTTTGGGTCCGAGTATGATTTGTTCCGTTTTCCGCTTAGTTTCTCTACTTGTTTTTGTACAGTTTTTGTAAAGCCTAGTGCTGCTCCTCCAGTACACGCAAAAATTAGTGCATCAAAGCTGCTGAAATCCACATCCAGAATTCTTTGTTTGTATTTTAGTGTTTTGATCCATTGGTACTCTGATTTGGCACTCTTGATAATTCTAGGCGTCAGATATAGTTTAGGGCAGGATTTAGCATGGGGATTGATATTTTTTTTTTACATTTGGGACGGTGTAGAGAGTAGGTCAGTGTGAATGGTTGTCCACATGTACAGGTATGTTAAGTGTTTGGTGGTTCCCATCCATATCTCAGATAGAATCCATCTTTGAACTCTGACTTTTTGAGGGAAAATTTGTGTTTTTTGGTAGCACGCTTAGCCAATTCGATGCTCTTTTCTGTGACGCTAGATTAAATGTCAGTTTTTTTTCTGATGGAAAATTTAGCTGAAACTACAGGAGAATCAAAAGATTTTTGTATTGAAGACAAACAGAATATAGAGCTTTGTCTGATAAGAATTGTGTTATTCGACCACAATGACTTCGAAAAATCCTTGTCATCAACGAAATTTCACAGGAGCATTTTGGTGCGAAGATTGCCTGTTTTCAATGATTGGCGGTGTTATTCAATTTCTTAAGTTTTTGATATCAGCGTGCATCACTTTTAACGTTTTTTTTTATTTCCGCTGCATTGCAACTGAAAAAGTGAAAACCAAAACGACAATTTTTCTTTGACATGATGAGAAGAAAACGCTGAAACAAGCAGACAACAAATTTGAAGAACAAACGTGAAGACCCGAAAGCATTCTTGATAGAAACAATTTTGCTGTAGAGATCGTTACCGTGCTGACATCATCAATCGGGAAGGCCGATGGCCAAGATTGCAACTCTCCCCGGTATTGAAGAGATATCTTTTTTGCGAAAATCAAAAATCCGGAAGCGTCTTTTGGATAACTGTAAACTAAATTTTAGAAATAATTCAGCTTCCCGGAATGTCCTGAATTAAATTCAAATTAACATCAGATTCAGTTTCCGATAATTAGTAGCTAGGATTTGGGGGAGAGTTGTAACATTCGCCCAAATACTACACAGTGACGGAGCGTAAAAAAAGTACCTATTAACGACTGGCCGGCTTCAAGTACCTAAATTCTACTCGTTTTTTCACCGTCTCGTCGTAGCCAGTTGATTTTTTGGTCTGTCTAGGGCTAAGTAAAAGATTATTTTTTTCAGGCCATCAGTCAAACGACTTTTGATCAGCTTTCGTTTACATGCGAACACAACCACATAGCTGGATCTCGGATGCTCAGACTACGTGGTTGCTATTAAAAACACGGCTCGAATATCCTATTTTACTGTGTTTTTGGTGACAGTTCTATATTTAATCCCTTGGAGATGGATTGATCCTTTCCTCTTTCTAGCTACTCATATTCTAAAATGTCAATCCATACCGGTGTTAATTCAAAGGTTTATGGCATCAGAGTAGCTAAAAAATCAGTTCTTCATAGTCCTTCACCATATGCTGTCTCTGGGGGGCCGAGCCTCCGCTTCCGTGATTTCGCTGTAACAACGTCGTTATTACTCCCATGTAACATTCGCCCAAATACTACACAGCGACGGAGCGTAGAAAAAGTACCTATTAACGACTGGCAGGCGTCAGTTACCTTAATCCTACTCGTTTTTTACCGTCTCGACCTTGCCAGTTGACTTTCTGGTCTGTTTAGGGCTAAGTAAAAAGTTACTATTTTTAGGCCATCAGTCAAACGACTTTTGATCAGCTTTCGTTTACATGCGAACACAACCACATAGCTGAGTCTTGGATCCTCAGACTACGTGATTGTCATTAAAAACACGGCTCGAACAACCTATTTTAATATGTTTTTGTGTGACAGTTCTATATTAAATCCATTGGAGATGGATTGACCCTTTCCTCTTTCTAGCTACTCATATTCTAAAATATCAAGTTACACCGGTATTAATTTTAAGGTTCACGACATCCAAGTAGCTATACAGTCAATTTTATACAGTCCCTTCACATAAGACAGTCTCTGGGGGACCAAGCCTCCGC